TCGAGGTTATGAGATGTTACTCATTCTTATTCCTATATGTCTATCCCCTATGGTTGTCAATGGAATGAGCTATTCCCTTGTGCAAGTCCTGAGTTTCCTCTCATTATCTTCATCGGTAGTTCTTCCCTTATTGCAACTTAATCTGTCGATTGGATCCATATGATCCTTTGTCGATAACTTGGATTCGCTCGCAAGCAATCCCCTTTTTGTTGATTCGCTCGTAAGCAATCCACTTGTTCCCCTTGTTCTTTATCCTGTTGTCGATCGAAATCGCGATGAGGATCCTATTATCTTGACGACTCGGCTTGTGTGTCATGCATTGAGTCATGCTTCCGGAGCCACTTTACCCCTATTATTGGGCGTTCCTCCGGTTGCTGGCTTGGTTGCAGTTCGGTCGTTTGAACTGGCTTGCAGTCGCATGCTACCATGCGACAATACCATTGTGGATTGATTAATCTAACGATCTAAGAGATGTAAAGTTTGTATTTCCAAATAAGTGAGCAGTTATTGATTATTTTCTAGAATAGGCCCGCAATATTTATAAAGCTGTAAAGCTGAATTGTAAGCTGTATCCTGTCACATCAGACACTGTTGATTGATTAATCGATTGGAAAGATCGAAACAACCTTTAGCGAGATGTGTGTGAAGTGATAAGCTCAGAGCTTGCACGGAACTCTGGGGCAGAGGGTAAAACCGTACCGCTTCTACGATGATTTTCGTTTCGGTTCATATTGGTCTGGATTCTTACTCCACTCACCAGGCTACTTGCTAGCTAGAAAGACTACGGTACTGTCCGGTGAACTGCAATCCCATTCGCTGCAATCCGATACGGTCCAATACGCTACCATACGGTCCGATACGGTACGGTCCGATGCGGTCCGAAAGTCTCATTTCAGTGCTGCACGCATGAGAATAGGAAGCCACCGAAGAAACAGTATGCGGTCCGAAAGTCTCATTTCAGTGCTGCACGCATGAGAATAGGAAGCCACCGAAGAAACAGTAAGAGATCAGGATCTGACAGACCCCATTAGTGGCGCAGAAGAGTTGTAAAACGGAGCGCGAGTGGTACGGCAAGGTGGCCACCAGCAACGGCACGTTCTTACCCCGTCTACGGCTGATAGCTCGAGCTTCCAAAACCTTACTTGCTTCGAGACTGTCCTGCTGTGCACTTTTAGTATGTACGGGGACGGACGAAGAAGCCGCAAAGCGTCGAATCCACGCGTCTATGATGAAAGCCTGTCTGCAATTAGCAAGATCTTTCGGCTCCTCCATCGGACTAACACCATGGAGAATCCCCATCAAACGCTGACAGCAAGAGGACCTCAAACTAATGCTGGAGCGGTACGTTGAGATTTACTGCGGCGTTCGGGTATTCCCCCTTCCCATGCGTGCTCCTTCTGTAGCAGGCTACATGCAGCGGAGATCGCGACTACCGGATCATCAGTGCCCTCTCCATCTAAGATCAGATGCGTTCGACTGCAAGATCAAGGGAAGAGACACTGCTCGGGGGCGCACGGACCAAGCACGACCGTCAATATCAAAATCAACAGTAACATAGTTGTGTCACTTTGTTCTTCTACTAACTTCATCGTTTATTTTCACTTATTTACTTGGGTGTGAGTGGCTAAGCTTCCAAATCACCCTTAGAGATCACAAATGCACCTTCTCCAGCTCTGTACATTATCAACATCTGCTTCTACTGGTTGAGGCATGCACCCATGTCCTTTCTTTGTTCAACTGGCTAATTCAAATCACTTAAGCAGTGATGGAGGGGGCAGTCATGGCAACAGGGCAGACTTCTCCAGAGGCCAAGTCCAAGGGAAAGTTGTGAGCATTACGTTCATGCATGACTTCCATACCAAGATCAGCACGGTTGACAATGTCAGCCCAAGTGTTGATGACACGCCCTTCACTGTCAACAACAGATTGGTTGAAGTTGAATCCGTTCAAGTTGAAAGCCATGGTGGAAACTCCCATGGCAGTCATCCAGATACCTGTGAAATTGAAGAGAGAAACCTTGTGTGAGCAAGAAAAGTCACCATTATAGAAAGACACGGCCAGCAGGTCAACAGTTCTTACCAATCACAGGCCAGGCAGCCAAGAAGAAGTGGAGAGCACGGGAGTTGTTGAAGCTAGCATACTGGAAGATGAGGCGTCCAAAGTATCCATGAGCAGCAACAATGTTGTAAGTCTCTTCTTCTTGTCCAAACTTGTAACCATAGTTGGTGGATTCAGATTCAGTGGTTTCACGGATCAAAGAACTGGTGACCAAAGAACCATGCATGGCAGAGAATAAGGAAGCTCCAAAGACACCAGCAACTCCCATCATGTGGAAGGGGTGCATGAGAATGTTGTGCTCAGCCTGGAAGACCAACATAAAGTTGAAAGTTCCAGAGATACCAAGGGGCATACCATCTGAGAAAGATCCTTGTCCAATGGGATAGGTGAGAAAGACAGCAGTGGCAGCTGCAACAGGAGCAGAGAAGGCAGTGAAGATCCAAGGGCGCATTCCAAGACGGTAGCTGAGCTCCCATTCACGGCCCATGTAGGCAGCAACTCCAATCAAGAAGTGAAGGACCGTAAGCTGGTACTCTCCTCCATTGTACAACCATTCATCCAAGGAAGCAGCCTCCCAGATGGGATAAAAGTGCATTCCAATGGCATTGGAACTGGGGATCACAGCACCAGAGATGATGTTGTTTCCATAGAGCAGACTTCCAGCAACAGGTTCACGGATTCCATCAATGTCCACTGCGAGGAGAAGGGATGAACTGTGTTAGCAGACTATAAAACTGGACACCATGCAGGGGATCATTCACAAAGGCACTTACCAGGGGGGGCAGCAATGAACGCAGTGATATAGCAAGTGGTGGCAGCAAGCAAGGTGGGGAACATGATGGTTCCAAACCATCCAATGTAGAGTCGGTTCTCAGTGCTGGTAATCCAGTTGCTGAACTGTCCCCAGACAGTGGCCAAATCGTCCTTTTTGGCAACCTCATTTGGGACCAACGTGCTCACACCAAGTTCCGTGTTGAACTTGACATCTGCGGTGGTCTTCTCAGTGGTGGAGACTCCCTTGGGTGCAAATGCCAGTCCAGAGGCAGCACCAAAGCGCTTGTTGGCGCCAACAGAAGGCTGAGGCGCCGTGAAGGCCTCACAAGTGGATGCCAGCAAGAAAAAGACGGAAGCAGCAGCAATCTTCATGGTTTCAGACTTTTTTGGTTTCCTTGGTTTCAATTAGTTGTCAGCTTTGGTTTTGCTTTTTGCTTTTGCTCCAGCTCGGTATGTGAGCTCGAGAAGCTCCTGCAACTTTATCTTTCAAAGTTCCGCCACTGAGCTGTTTCTTGTTTGCTGGTGTTGTGCTTGCTTCATCGATCTTTCTTTTCTTCTGAGTCCACTTGTAGCTAGCTATACGTCGACCACAAAGCCGCAGGCTCGGTACGGTGCGGCACGGCACGGTACACGTACGTATAGGCTCTCTGACATGGCTGCCTTCTTCAGAACCGTTCCAAGTAGTCCAGTACAAAGGTACAAAATTCTGGTACCGGTACCGCAATAATATGGTACCGTACCGTACCGTTCGCCTCGGGATGTGCAGCGGAAATAATTGTTCCGGAACACTGAGTCAATTGCTTGCGTGCTGCTGTGTGTCCAGTGCTGTGGGATGCTTCGAGTGACCAAGGTACGTAGCTCCAACATGTACTAGCTAGCTGTCGTGCTACTGCTAGAATAGAAGGGTAGTCAGGAGTAGTTGTTCTATCGATCGGTGCAGATGGCCATATCTTTTGAATCTTTGGGTCGCTCAGCGGCGAATTCATTCTTCGGAACATCCAGCTCATCATCGAAGCATGAGGTGCCGTGGGCCTCAAATTGAGCAAAATTGATTGACAGGCCTGCTGCTTTCTAGTTGACACTTTCTTCGACTATTGGGGTTAGGGCTACCGGTATTAAAAGATACGAGAACCGGTACCAGTGGGGGTTCCGGTACCAGTACATGTATATCCAAGCCAAGCAGACATCAACAAAATGACTGCTCGCATCTTTCTCACCTGGACGTCCTAATCATCACAATTTTCGGATGGAATATTTGGTGATAAAGACAAAAAGAGCTTGTTGGTATCCTCATTTTATTTGTAACAAAAAATTGTTTGACCATGCCAATGTCGACTTCCTCGATTGACGGTGCTCGCAATAATAAGGCGGATCCACCACCCATGAATCCCCGCAAGCAATCGGCTGCCGTTGGTCCTCCTGCCGTCAATCCGAACAAGCAAGATCCTACAGGACAAGTCAAGAAATCGAATGCCAGTGTGGTCGCTGGTGGTGGTGCTAGCACTGCGGCGGCAAGCAATGCCAACAACAGTGAAGCTCCTACCGGTGGTTGGTGGGAAAAGCCAGGAGCTCACACTTCCACTGGTTCTACCGGTAGGAAAAATTATACCCAACCCAAGAATAATGCTACCCAAACCACGCCTAAAAAGACTGCTGCCAAAGCTACCCAAGCACCCAAGAATACTACTACTATTACTACCAATACTATTACGACTACTGCAAAGGCTCCTCCCGCTCGAACTTCTTCTACGTCTATGAGTTTGGCCCGACGCTCCACGGACGGCCAAGCCCGTATGGGGTTGCAAGGAGATCCCGCGCAACACGAAGATTTCCTGAAACAACGACGTCAATTGGAAGAACAAGCCGCACTGGTCCAAGAATCATCAGCTACTGCAGATCCCAAATCGATTGAATCCTTGGAAGAAACCGCACGCGCCACGGCACAACAAGCCAATTGCAATCCACTCTGGGTGACCACGGTCAATTTTGTAGCGGCCGCCAAAGTCTTTGTCTTTCATCTCGTCACGGTCGATACCATTCTCTGTAATATTGCCACGGTACTCATGACCTATTATTGGTGGGAAGCCAAGGCCGAATATCAACCCCATTGGAATGGATCCATGCATTTCATTCTGGTTTCCTTTGCTGTGGCAATGCCCATTACCGTCGCTCTTCGCATGGCATTTGATCGACGCGAAAAGGCACTGCTGTGTATTGCCAATGTCCGTTCCTTTTGTCTCCACATTTACATGGCCCATGCGCTCTGGGATTGGAAGGGATCCGATGGAAGAGCCAATGCTGCCAGTGAGTTTGATTTTGTCCAACACGGCGATCAAGTCCTCTGGCATCTCATTGGCATGGGCGATGAAATGACACGATTCTTGACACTCCCGACATTTAGTAAACCTCGTCATCGGGTCTTGTGGACGGGACGACGGGAAGCCACACAATCCATCCGCGTGGCGTATCAACTACTCGATAGTGTCCTCTTGCAACACATGACGCGATTGACCGTCTTGGCGGAAACACTCAAATCGATTGGATTGAGTGGATCGGAAATATCACGTGTGCGGCAGTACGAACGTCATCTCAGCAATCAACTCGAACAATTGCGCATGTACAAGGTCTATCGAACACCACAGGCATTGTGGGCATTTGGACGCATCTTTACACTGTTGCTGCCACCCTTTTATGCTCCTGCATTTGCCAAAATGGGACAAGAATTGGGACACTTGTGGTTGGGAATGCTCTTTGGATGTATTACAGCAACGTGTCTCTCGACCTTGTTTGAAAGTGTGCAAGTGTTGGAAGATCCGTTCACGGCCTTTGTGACGTTGGACGGCATTGATGTCTCGGAAGAATTGGAAGTTTTGCAGTGGACGCAACTCGTGACGGCGCGAAAATTGTTGTTTCCACAAGCCCCGGAATACCCTCTCCGAACACGGGCCGCCATGCGTCATGGAGGCTACGATCCGACGGTGCATTACCACGCCACACCGGCATTACGAGCCCAGTTGTTGCAGCAAGAACAACAACAGCAGAAGGGCGCAACCAAGAAAACCGATACGACGGATCCCTTTCGAGCAGAAGAGGAGGACGACGTAGAAACGGGCACGACCAAGTCCAGAGGAGACGCCATGAAGAAAATCAGGTCACGGAGGCAAAGTCACTTTGCCGCATTGTAATAATGGTGTGTTGTGTTGGCGATTGGTGTTGCCTGATTATGCATCAGTTTTTCAGCCTTTTGCAAAACTTCCTTCCTTCAAGCAGGGCTCGACCAACAAGAGTCTCAGATAGATCCTTTGTGTTGCCAACAAGGGGTCTTTCCGGACTTGTATAGCTATAGTTTTTCATTGGAATAGTCCATGCACTTCATTTTAGTTTTTTGCCATCGGATATTCACTATTTCTGTCGCCCTCAGCATGGCAGTTGATCAACGGGAAAAGTATTGCCAATGCAGCCTTTGCATGGGGTCACCAAAAGTCATGTCACTTGCCCGCTGTCCATCACAGACGGAATACCGGCAACTACAGCTTGATTCGATTCTAGAGATTCGATTCGATTTGGAGGAGGACAGTTGCGAGATCACTGCATGCATAGCAGAATCAAGGGCTACCGTACAGCTGGCCCTTTGCCATCCAAGCCTTTCAACCACAACTTGAGCAAACCGATATCTCCTGCCTCGTTGCACCGGGCAAAACCCAACCGTAACGATGGAGCAATGGAAAAGCTAGCGTGCTGAAATTGTTTCCTTTTTTTCTGCTTTCGGTCGCCGTGCCAAACCAGACTAGTTTTTCCAAAAATTATTGTCTGCAACGTTAGATTTCGGTACGATAACTAATGAGTGTGATATGAGGGCCCTTTTATAAAAAAATTTCGATGTGATGTTGCAGTTTCTGTCTTTTTCCCTCTATGGTTTTGTGGTATTGTTTGGGTTCCCTCACCGTCCTACGGATTGTCCGCCTGCCCTGGCTCCCTACTTTTCATTCCTTTGCCTTTTTGGCCTCGGGTTCCTCTTGCTTCTTTTTGTCATCCTCCTCCAGAGCATGCTTCTTGCTGCTGCAGCAGTCTCCCGCGTCGGCTTTGGTTTTTTCTTCATTTTCCTCCGCCGGCTCTACGGGAGCAAAGAGCTGGGTCTCCAGGTCATCCTTTTTCGTTCCATTGGAACAATCATTCAAGTAAACTTCATAATGAGGGCATTCCCGGGAACCCTTGCAGGGGCGCAACTTTTGGGATGGAATCCATTTCATGCACAGCTGCCCCCACGATTTGGGCAATCCTTCGTATCCACCACGATGCACGGAAGTCGCACAGCGACGTCCCTCTACCACGATTTCTTCCAACCCCTCGGGCACCTTGGATTCCACAGAGTCGGGAATGAGCATGGCGGCCGCCCACACCAAATCTTCCTTGTTTTTGGTATTGGGGACATCACAGAGCACCAACATGGCCGTGCGAATCTTCAGGTCCCTATTGTCATCCGCAAAGACCTTCTTTTGGAGTTCCCCAAGCTTTTTAAAGGCAGCACCACAGCCATCAAAGGGACCCTTGCCAATGATTCCCCAAAACTTTTTGGTCTCTGTCTCGATGAGCTTCGGTTCGTCGTCGTTGGTGGTCGTCATGGTTTCCAATTGCTATAGAAGTACCACTGTAGTAGTTGAGTTGAGTCGAGGTGATGGTGGTGTCCTGGCCTCTTTGTGGTCCACAATAATGCGAAGCCGTCCAGTAATCGGATCTTTCTGGCACATCTTTTTGGTTTTCGTCTTGTCGCCCCCTTTTTCATGCCACCAGGACTGGATTCTTCCAGTCACAAAGATACGTGTTAGAGGTAGGGTTCTGCTGCCTGTCGTGAATCGAATCCAGTCTTCGATCCAAATCGAGTTTCTGACCTGATCTCGTCCATCGTTTCTTTGGCCCCCGTTCTGTAATAGTCGAGAGAGAGTCCATTGTTTGCTGTCGCGAAAGCAAAAAAGAAAGGCACAAAACACACAAACATAGGAGAGCCACCAACGGCGTTTGACTCGAGGAACATGGACTCGAACGCATCTTCCAGCCATGATGATGAACCAAATAATGAGGACGACCATGGCAGAGCTGAATCCAGCATGCCGCACACGCGCGATGATACCACGACTGGTACCACTACCACCGGATCCTGTACAAATCCCACTGCTGCCCATTCTACCAGGGTGGGTGAACGGTTTGACAGGCCCATGACAGCAGAGGAAAAGGCTCATGGAGAA